GGAGCTGCTGGTTCTCCACAGCTGAGAATCTCAGGCTCAAATTCCAGGAATGTGGAGAGAGATTTCCACTCACCCGTGCCGATCTTCGCCATTGCTACTGACACTCTCCTCGCGCACCTCGCATTCTCGATCAGCGTCATGGACGGATGAGCAGCGGCCTTCATCGCCCTAGATCGTTGCTGAATTTGTCTAACGAAAAACCCTAAAGAAGGTTCTAGCTAAGTAACTAAAATAAACTACAAAACTTTCAAACCCTGATAGGGCTGGGCATCACTTAAAGGAGGCAAACAATACACCCTGCTTTGCAAAACAGAAAACCTAAAACGAAAAGCAAGCATGACAAAAGAAGATACGATGACTTTCCAAGGCTAATGGCTCAACATGTAATATTAGTTTTTTTTCATTTATTCTTTGCTAAAATAAAGTTTTTAATTAAAAAGCTTTTGTTTTTATAATAAAAGGACTTTCTTCTTTTTTCCATTAAAGAATTTCTTTGCTTTAAGGATATACCATAAATGCATTATTAAAACTTTGTTTAAGCATGAATAAAATTATTTGGCTTAACTTTAAAGGTTATAACTTTCTATATTGTATCATTTTTCAACTTGTTGTCAATAATAGATAAAAAAAAATTCATAAGTAAAAATTTGTAATATATCCAATCATCTTTTATTGTAAAGTCAATTTTGTAAATTTAATGAAATAATAATTTGAGTGATATTTTTTACTCAAAATTTATACCAATATCTAAAAACATTTCAATGCAAATTACCTCTATTGTAGTTTCTAATTAAATTTTTTGTTAATGATACAATTTGATAGATATCTTTTTTCTCAAAGTTTATATATAGTGATTTTCAATTACATTTCTTTTTTATAATATATATTTCAAAATTCTAATTAATAAGTGAATTACTTCTATCAAATATTTTAGGTTAAATGTTTTAAAATTTAGTTAAAATCACAACCCTAAGTACTAAGATTGCATGCGAATATGATAATTAAGCCTTATAAATTTAGTCAATCACTCTCTTTACTTTAACATAATAGTTTTTATTTAATGTTTGCAAAAGTTTCATTTAATTGCTCATAAATAATTACATAAAGTAAAAAAGTTTAATCGCTATATCTTTTACCTTTAATGAAAAAGTACTATATAATTGGATATGAAGAAGATTGTAGATAGAATTTATGAGCATTATTCTTATCAAATTTTACTTTAAAGATATTAATGTTTTTTGCTTAATTAAGTATTTATATTGATGATTTTTAATAAATTATAAATTAATAGTAAATTAGTAAGATGCCTCAATCAAATTATTTATTTCCTCATTAGTATGAGAAAGATTTCCACCCACATATCTATGAAATAACTAATTACCTTTATGAACGATAAGAAAACCTTAGAAAAAATAGGGCTTAACTATGCCAAAATATAAATTAAAAAATTAATAAAAGTTAAAATATTGACATTTCAACCCATATATCTATGAAATGTTTTTTATAAAAGTCAAAATATTGATTCACTTATCAAGTATTAATTTTAAAAATACTTGATAAACACTCCTTAATTTTGAAAATTCACCTCAAAATGTTCGACAAGTTACTTAATCTCAGCTTGCATAATAGTATCATTATGAAAAGCTATGTAAATTAAATGATATATAATATTTTTATCCTTCTATCCCATGATTTTACTTTACAAATAGTATATTTGAGCAAGTTCCTCCTTACATGCTAAATATATTATAGAATTTGACAATCAAATGTAACTCTATATAAAATTAAAATGAAATTAAATTATAACATATTAAATTAATTACCTTATTCTGCACTTCAACATCATGATTTTCCAATTTGATATGTGTTAAAAAGTCAATTCTTAAGAGTTATTATTTAGTTTTCATATGTTCTTATTTTTCACTAAAAGTTAAAACCCATGCAAGTGGAATACCATTTCCATAATAATAAAAAACAAACATAGTATACAATGGGACTTGTAAATTATCAAGGATTATTCACTTTAAAATAATGAAAACTTTACTTTATAACAATTAATTCCAAAAGTTGCATCAAGACTCAACAATCCTATTTTTCCTGAATCATATACATACATAAAGGTCTCCGTCCATGATGCTGATCGAGAATGGGAGGTGCCCTGACGGGCATGGTTTCCACTTCAAGCTCTTGAGTTTTCCACTGTGCAAGAAATTTATAGATGTTGTCAAAGGCCACAGCAAATGCAGCTTGGACATCTGGATCGAGCTGCCAAAACGTGAATGAGATCGGACTCTTGCAACATAGAAAAGTTATAACTTTGGATCTGGAAGGTCTTTCAACAATGTTGCCAAGCGAATTTCTTGGTGTATCTGGGAGCTCGCCAGCGAGAAGATATCAAAGGCACGAGAAAAGCGAAGAGACAAAAAATTGCCTACTTCATCACAGGTTCATGCTTCTCCACAGCTGTGAATCTCAGGCTCAAATTCCAGGAATGTGGAGAGAGATGTCCTCTCACCCGTGCCGATCTTCGCTGGTGCTACTGGCGCTCTCCTCGAGTCTGGTAACTTGGAGCTTGCGTGATAAATGCTTACTCCCCAGCTGTTCTGCCACCCAGGGAGTTAAATGCCGGCAAGTTGCGAGGATCGACGCTGCCGGGCTTTACGTTCCTGGATCAACAGCGCTTATGCTAGCAGTGGTACGTCATGTCTTTCACTGATCTTTCTTCTTAAAGCTGTCTTAATACCTGCGAGATTAATATCCCGCAGGTATTGCCGGATGTGAGACCATTGTTCTTGCAACTCCACCACGGTCAGACGGTTCAATCTGTCCGGTATGTGTTACTTTTTCTTTCCACGAAAAGTTTTCAAGCTTGATGGAGCAAGGAAGTTTTATATTGCACTAAAAAAGCTGGAGAAGCACAGGCACTTGAAAGTATTTTTTCTCTCTTGTTGCATATACTCATTTTTGGAACTGTTTAGGCCGTAGCTGCCATGCCATGAGGAACTCATTCCTGTCCAAAAGTAAGAACTGTTGGTGACACTTCCGTGACTGACATTCCATCTCCATATTGCCACAGGTTGACAAGATCCTGGGCCCTGGAAATCAGTATGTAACTGCTGCGAAGATGCTGCTACAGGTATAAAGTTGCGTTTGCTTTTCTTACAGAATAGGGAGTCTATGATCTCCATAAATATGCCTGCTGGTCCCTCGGAAGTCCTTGTCATCGCGGATAAAAACGCGAATGCGATCCATGTAGGAGCTTCCCTGGGGAGTCGAGCGTCGCAATAATAAAATAACTTACAATGAAAACAAAATTCTCATTTGGAAAAGGCAACTTTTTTTTAACTCCTTAACGTAAGGCAGAGTCATTCACTTGGGGAAACGAAGCCATCGGCATGAGGATTGGCCAACACCAGCACTGAGAGTGGGCTGTTGGAACATTCTAGGTTTTCTCGAAACCAAGGTGATAGCTTGAGCTGCTTAAATAGGTACGATATTGTCATCCTCATGGAAACTTGGGAAGCAGAAGATCGACAGTTCGGTGACTTAATACACTACCTGGGCAAATGACCGACAGACCGCATTGAACATTAGCCATTTACATCCACCGGGAATGGAACATCAAGATCCATTCAATCACCCATGGCCCAGATGGACTCTTCACAGCTATAAAAGGTGTTGGACCAACATGGGGGGAAAATAGCATCCACAGATGATCAGTGGCTTGGTTCCACCTGTGTCAAATGACGATCACCTGATAGACCATGTCAGTGTTGACCTGCTTCTTTGAGGAGACTAAGCACTACAAAGTCATTGCACATACATTTGTGATCCTTGTGCGAATTCACGCGCATGGGAGCCGAGGATCACGCCCTCAACCTCACAGGACACAAGCTCCTCACATTTGCCATGACAAATGAACTCTGTCTTCTTAAGGGTGCCATGAAATGACGGGGGTGACATGGAATGTGAGTTCCACGCCCAGCTCATGTTGCAGATTGGATGATGTACACGAAAATATTTTACCATCCACCTCAGGTCATATCAAAGGCTAGAGGCAAGTCATCTCAGCGAAAGGTGTTTTATGTATAATGGACTTGAACAGTTGGGGTAGTGGGTTTTTACACATTTAAAGGTAAGAATGCTCATTTAGGCTTGAGTTTTCTAAAAGATCCTAAAGAATATTCACCCGTTTGCATTTAGTTTGAGGATCAGATTTATGCTCGTTTGGCCCTTCCACACCTACACTGTGTAAGGATGGCCCCAGCACTTTGCTTGGAAAGGGAACCAGAGTGTAGAAATACTGGAACGGGGGTCGACTTGTCTGGAAAGTGCTACTGGATCTCTTTAATACACGGTTGCTCTGCCTCTTGGCTGATCTGGCATATATTACTCTAACAATCTATATGCATACTGTAAAAGCAGCTTATTCTTAGAATCGACATCATTTAACCATCCTCAATTTTATGGTTGGAGCTTCCCAAACCAACTAAATTACTTGGCGATGGACCCAGAATAAATGCTGCTGGATTTGTGATTTTCACAGGTGATATCTTTGTGGTGACAGCAAAATCCTTCTTTGTGGCAACTGCAGACAATTCAAAATCTTACTTGTTGAGGATGGATCCTACTAAAGGATTTGTGGAGGAAGGTGTTTATCCTTGGCCTGGTACCGAGGAACCTATATGCATTATCTACGAGAACACAAATCTGGTTATGCACCACGAATTTCTGGCTTTTTATGACCAACAAACAAAGAATTGGAGGACCAACTCGATTCAACCGTGTTGTGCAATTCGAAACTGCAAGCCGAGTTTGATTTGTGCGTGAGTCTAGATATTCATAATCACAGTCTACTAATATCTACATACTACGAGGGCATCCCTTTACCAAGTGAGAGAAGTGTTCGGAGTTTAAAAACAAAGAAATTCTGCCTTACTTTCATTGTGAGTTTTTCTATTATTATGGTATCTCCCCGGGGAAGCTCAGCTAAAGCTTCACGAACATGGATCGCACTCGCGTTTCTATCCGCAAACTTCCGAGGCTTTGGAGATCGGTATTCTGTAGGATAGAAAAGCAAAAGACGCAACTTAGCACCATCTTCGCAGCGATTTTCAGGGCCCAGGATCTTGTCAACCTATGGCAATATGGAGATGGGATGTCAATCACGGAAACGTCACCAACAGTTCTTACTTTTGGACAGGAATGAGTGCCCCATGCCATGGCAGCGGCCTAAAGATGAGTATACGCAACAAAAAGAGTTTCAAGTACCTGTGCTTCTCTTTCTTAGCGCAATATAAAACTTCCTTTGCTCCATCAAGCTTGAAAACTTTTCGTGGAAAGAAAAACAAACACATACCGGCTTCGATCGACAATCGTCTCACATCCGGCAATACCTGCGGGCTATTAGTCTCGCAGCTTTAAGAAGAAAGATCAGTGAAAGACATGACGTACCACTGCTAGCATGAGCGCTGTTTTCAGGAACGTAAAGGCCGACGGCGTCAATACTCCTCGCCACTCGCCGGCATTCAACTCCCTGGGTGGCAAACAACCGAGGAGTTGGCATTTATCACACATGCTCCAAGTTACCGGACTCGGATACTTCAAGCTGTTTTCCGCTGTGCGAGATGAAATTTATAGATGTTGTCAAAGGCCACATCAAAGGCAGCTTGGACATCTGGATCGAGCTGCCAAAACGTGAATGAGATCGGACTTTCTTTGCGGTTGCAGAAAGATAGATCGAAAAGTTATACCTTTGGATCTGGAAGGTCGGACATTCTTTCGACAATGTTGTCTTCCATAGAATTTCTTGGTGTATCTGCAAAGCTCGCCAGCGAGATGGTCTTAAAGGCACAAGAAAAGCAGCTTCATCGCCAGAAAATCTCATTTCAACTTTTGAAAGAAAAACTTGAAACGAGATTTTCTTCCTCAAGTGTGATTTCTTTCTCACTGTTTTTAAAATGGAGCCCTTCATAGAATTTCCCGCTCAAATATCGCCGCTGCTATTCGCCCACCTCGCATTCTCGATCAGCGGTTGAGCAGTCATATTATTAGGGCTTTTTGTTAGGTCAGCCAGGCATGGCGGAGGAGGAAGAGGATCCGTGGAGCGATGGCGATGGCGATGGTGGTGAAGGCCCTCGAGAATCCGAATGGCAGAGCAGGAATTTCCACACGGTAGTGTCACTCTTCCTTCGATTCGTTCGAGTTTCCGTTTGATCGAGCGCAGATTTTCTAGCTCGGATACCGCGATGGTCTCTTTGCTGGGAAAGAATCGTCGGCACAGAAGGGGTTCGACGCTGGATTCAAGGAGTCGGCTCCAGCCGGATTCGATTGGGGGATTGCGAGAGGCATTACAAGGTCTTTCGGATCTTTGCTTTTTTTCTTCTTCTAGAGATTGTAACAACTTTGGTGTTTGTAGTGCTTTTGCGGCATTGTCACCGAGGCATCAAGAGTTGCTGGCTCCGGACAAGAATGCGCGCGACGATCTAAAGTCTCTGCACGATTCCATCTCTGGTATTTCCTCCAACGATGCTTTGGCCTCGTACCACAGCCACCAAGTCCTACGAGACGAAACCTCCACCGTGGCTGACGTTGGTGTCTTGAGCTCTCAAGCCAAAGCAGCGGCAGACAAAGCTTCCATAGCGTACGATGCTCTTCTACAAAATAGTCGATCCACCAATCTCAGGTAAAAACTTCTCAAGCCTGATCTCTTTATCGCTAAAGTGGCCAACTTCAGCGTGACGGAAGTTCCAAGAAGTTGACAGAACGAGATGGACACAAACATATTTGCGAAAAGTCTCGACGATCCGACACGAAAAGTAGCTAGGAAAGTTTCTCAAGACTTGAGTGGTTTTGGTGGACGAGAAGGCTGTTTTCGTGGACTTTTAGGTGGTTTTCTTCGGTGCGAAGAAGCTGGCTGCCATTCGCAAAGCTGGATTCCCCGGCAGCCACGCTGCTGCCGCGAAGAAACTATTTTTTGGAATTCCAAGTCTTTGTGCGGTGGCAACAGTGGACGCCGTGCTCATCGACACCAACACCGTCAACAGTGAAAGAAGCCTGGCGATGATCCTCTTTCCAAAGTACGAGCCAAGTCGACAAGGAATGTGTCGCGCACTTGCGCGGGTCAAACAGCGCACGGGGACCTTTGACACGGAGGACGGATCTTTGGCTTTGGACCGGGCTCCAACACCGCATCGCCCAACCAGTGTCGGGACTCGCCGAGTTCCCGTGCCGGCATCTTTGAACGGATCAAATCCATATCCAAAGCCCAGCCTCTTCCTTTTCTCGTCATTATCATAAAGGAAAAAAGAGAGAACCAGAAAGATCTGATAGATAGCTCCTGGCTAACATTCGCTTGTATAAGAGCACTTTCGCGCGCGCTGGGCGAGGCCGACGTGGCGGCGGGCTTTCCACGCGTGCGGCCACGTCGGCATAAAGGCGGAAAGCGCGCGGCGCGAGTCAATGAATGCGAGATGCTTCGTCGCGTGGACGCCGACGGCGACATATCTATCTATCTATCTCTGACACGTCACTTGGCCGCCCCGTAGTACGTGGACGTGTTCTCCTCCCTCCCTTTTGTTGCGTTGCGGGCTCCCGAGATTCGGATTACCTGGCTGTGGCTTGCCTGTCGTCCACGTCAGGCGATATGGCCATCCATCCCATCATCCGGCCCCCATGCGCCCATTGGTCTAGCGTGGGCTCGGCAAAAACGGTTGATGTGGATGATACTGCGCGCCAAAAGTCAGAATGTAAAACGTGCTCGATCGCATTTCATGCAGTGACGTGAAGTGCCAACTTTTTTTTTTTTGGACCCATTTCTTTCCCTTGCGGCCGTACAGTATTGGCATCTCAATCAAAGCAGTTGGTCACAACCATATCACGACCAAAACCCCCCCAAGAGAGAATTAGAAACGGGTTTTTGGCCACAAGAAAAAAATGAGACAAAATGTTTTGGTCATGCGCTTTTTTCGTTGCGTAGCGCCCGAAGTCTAGATGCCCGGTGGACCAGATGATGGATTGTTTTTTTTTCCTTGTGATGTGTGTGTGGTGTTCTAGAAGCCCGCAAGGCGAGAGGGGAGACCCCGCGTCTATTCTTCGCGAGCGTTGAGCTTCAAAGCAGTTGCCTGTGGGTGGGATTTTGGGCAAAATCAATTCAAGCCAATCGAGGTTGACACCAGGCACCGCCTTTGTCTGTGTCAACAAGCCCCATCTGGAAAATGGCACCAACCCTTTTCCCCCTTTCAAAGCTTTTGTGTGGCCGCGTACCACAAGCCCGAAAATGCTGCATGCGCCTCTCTTTCACACGGCAAAAACTACCAAGGATTAGATCCATAGGTCACTGAATCTCGTTTCTTTTAAGATGAGATAGGATTAGATAAGGTTAAAGATCACGCCCATGACGTGTGGAGCGAGTGAATGGCCGCCACCTCCGCCACCTTTGAATCCCCCATTATAAATTTACAGCCAGCCCGTGTGTACTCTCCAACGCGGAGGAGTTTAAACAAAGAATATCCCGGGAAATATATTGCTGTGTCAGTCAAGGAGCTCTCTCTCTCAAGCAACGAGAAAGAAAAGAAAAGCCTCCCCCAACTCAAAAGCAAACCTAAAAGCTTATCCTCTTATCCTAAAACCGCCAGCCCGGCAGCAAGCAAATGGGGGGATGAGATCACAGCCAAGATCCCCATCGCGCATCCCCATCCCATCCCATACCACCACACTACCCATTGGATAAGGCCCCCCGGGCGTTTTTAAAACCCCTCGCACCGACGGCCACGATCGCCCCTGCCCCGGAATGCCCGGCACATCCGACGGCCGCGATGCGCCCCCGGAATGTCGTGCAAGCCAAGGCCCCCAAATGCTTCGAGCTTATCCAGTGGGCTTGTGAGATCAGACTGACTGGAAAACAAGCCTATCCGCATCATCGTAGGTACGTTAAGTAAAAAAGCCAGGATTTTTACCGCGGGGGAGGTAAAAAACCGACACCCACGCCTCTATCTTGTGGGGGGAAAGAGGAAAACAATAAAATTAAAACCTCGTTCGTTGGTTTGGGGGGGGTCCGTGTTATATCATCCACAGCGTGGTAGTGAGATTCGCCCTAAGCGCGGTGTGGACGAAGAAGAGGAGGAGCTCGTAGCGTTCTCTCCAATCTTCGCCTTTTTATCTCTTCTTGCCCGCCCTCTGTGAGAGTTCTTCGGTTGGAAGGAAGAGGATCTAATCTCGAGTGGGAGCTCCCGCCGGGCGTTGGTTGTATTCGGCAGAGCTGGGGGATAAGAGGGAATCCACGCTTTGATACCTTCGTTCTCCTCTGGCGGTAGATGATCCTCCAGCCCAGCGCGCGCATTCGCATTCCAGTGGCGATTTGGGCGGGATTGGAGATGGAGAGCGGCAGCGATCGGTCGCCAGTGGAGGAGAAGAGTAATGCGCGGGATCATCACCATCCCCAGCACCAGCTAGGGAAGCTCCAGATGCTGCCGGCATTGCCAAGGATTGTGCTGGTTGTGGAGTCGATTGGAGATTTCCAGGGAAGGCACGCCGGCGATGGGGGCGATTCCTCCTCTTCCCCTCGCTGCTCTTCCACGTCCACCTCCTCCATCGGCGCCTCTGATTTGGGCGAGAATGTGGATGAGAGCAATGAGGTGGAAAGCCCCCTGCGCGATTCGTCCTCGTCGGGGCCCCTGGAGCGCATGGAGACGCTGGAATCCTCGCTGCCGCTCAAGTAAGCAGTGTTCTTCCCCCATTTCATTTTCCTTGCTCTTCCAAGAAGCTCTCTCCTCATTCTTTGTCTCTTCGCGCGATTCCAGGCGAGGATTGTCGCAGTTCTTCGATGGCAAGTCGAGATCTTTCACATCGCTCAAGGAGGTGGCGTCGGCAGCATCGGCGACGCAGCTGCGCAAGCCCGAGTACCCATTCAAGCGGCGGAAGATGGTGATGCACAGCCAGATGCGCAGCCGCGCCAAATCCTCCTCCAATCTCCGCAAGATGCTGGGCCGCGCCGGGGGCGAGGCGTGGTCGCCACCGAGATTCGTCAGCGTCAGCTCCTTCCTACCCAGATCTTTCTCGCTCTCCAACATCGTCCACCAAAACGTTTAGGGTTCTTGGCGGGATGGAGAATACTCACACACACACACACACACACACACACAAAGCAAATGCGCTGGTACTCTTTCAAACGTAGCGGTGGACGGCCTCAATTTTGGAAACTTCTCTCTTTCATCTCTTTCCTCTTCCTCTCTTCTTGTACAAATACCAAAGCATTTCAGCATTTCCATTCTCTCTTTCTTTGTTCTTGGAGAGTTCTTTGTGATTGTCTCTTGGAGAGTTCTTTGTGAGAGTTCTTTGTGATTAGGCTCTTGGTGAGTTCTTTTCGTATCATCTTATCGACCAAAGCTCATCGCTTGTCATCGTTTCGCGAGCGTTCGCTGGGTGAAAAACTTGGTTTTGCGCGTTTTTTTTTTATTCTCTGTTTTTCCGTAGATTTCGAGCACCAAATCCGATCCTGCTGCCCCTCCCCGGAAGAACGAACTGTAGTATAGCAGTAGCCAACATCACGCAGAATCCAGAGTGCCTTGGAGGGCCTACTCCTCCACAGCACACAAATCACACCATAAACACCGCTGCGCGGCTATGCCTCGGGAGAACAAACTCGGCTCCTTTTCCCCGCTTCTTTTCTTTCTTTTTCTCGCTCTTCCTGGGTCGATGAGAGGAGTCCCTGGAAAGAGAAGGATGATACAAAAAAATACAAATAAAGTAACGTAGAAAGGAAATCTCGTACCTCGCTTGCGATGATAACATCCGAATCAGTTGCTGTGGTTTTTGTCTGAAAGGCTCTGTGTTCTGGAAACTTTTCCCTGCTTGTCTCCTGTTCCCGGCTGCTGGCGCTGTTAACGGAGAACACTTTCGCTTTAAAGCCTTTCTTCTTTTTCTTTCGAGTCAGCAGCAGCGGCAACAGTGGCAACGGCAGCAGCGGCGTTTTGTTTCTCCTTCAAGATTGATGGCTGGAGCGACCTGCGGCAGAAGTGAGCTCAATGAGAGATGCCGCGGACAGCAATGGCGACGACCACGAGGCCGGAAACCAGAAAATCCAAAGAGCATGACGGTTACCTTCAGCTGAAGTGACGACTGTGTTTTTCTTCTCGTCGAGTAGCAAATGGCCTGTAAATAGAACGGAAACCGCAAGAAGCAAAATGGCTCAAACTTATTCCATTTCTCGAAAGCATCGAGCTATAAAAGAATAATTTTTCGTCTTTGGCAGTTAATCCAAACCTTGTGCGAGAGTATTAAAATCCGTAACACACCAGTCAGCTCCAGCTGCAACGTTGGGACGCATTTGGACGCCTGCGAAGCAGATGAAAATATCCGCACCACCGGGCATTCGCGCCTATAAATTTTCACAGTTAAGACAGGTGATCTGGTACTAGAACGACGTAAAACTCACCTCAAGATCCGTAGCTCCATCTCCGATCATGACCATTCTCTTGTAGCCATGCTGCTGTTATAACGAACGGCAAATATCAGCATAACCGCAAAATACTGTAGAAAAATGCACGCAAACCTTTTTTATCAGAGCAATGGCAGTAGCTTTACCACCACTCCGTGACGTCGGCTCGTCCTCGTCAAAGCCATCAAATCCTCCGGCGTCATCAAACACCAACCGGTTCGCAAAAATGTTTTCTTTAGGAATGCCCAGAAGCACTGCTGCAGGCTGTGCGCACGCACACACGAGCACACGCAAAGTTCTAGTTCAAAGGACCCAGAGTTTTATAGCACGCGCAGTACCTCGATCATCTGCCTGAAACCTCCAGATACCAGGTATACTTGCGTGCCTCTCGAGTGGACCTTTTCCACGAGCTCCCGTATTCCTGGCGTCAGTCTATTATATGTAGCACACATAGAGCTCAGAGTCGAGAACTAAAATTCCTTACTTTGGCGGATGGCTGGTCAGGTACTGGTTCACGACGGACAGAGACGGTCGAAACAATCCTAGCCTTGCAGCTAGTGCTTGTTGAAAAGTCACAGTTCCGCCCATAGCTCTGAAAGAAAGATACTTAAGTCACAAGAGTACGCAAAAGTTCTTTTCTATTTTTCTTTCTTTCTTACTTGGCAGTCCAGGACGCAACAGCTTCTCCGGCCCCGCAGTAGCTGGCCAATTCATCTATCCCCTCGTCAACGCAGACTGTGCTATCCACATCGAAGCACACGGCCTCGGCAGTTCTCCACAATTCGAGCACATCTACGCATTTTTATTTTTTTAATTTTGTTCTCAAGAGATTGAGTGAAAGAATCAGTAGAAAAGAGGGCATACCTCTAGATGGAGCAACAATGGGCTGCATTGTCGAATCCACAGCTCCTGCTGCCAAGATCGTCCATCGGCCTCTCGACGGCAAAATTTGCTGCCTCTGCCTCAAACTCACAGCAGATCCGGCCTGGAAGAGCTTGAATCGCAGCGGCGGCTGCGCGGAAGACGTGTTTGGCAGCCGATTCGCCGGGTGCGCGAGCCGCACCACGGTACCCAGCTCCATGATCTAAGCCCCAACATCGTAAACCCTAATCTCATACAGCGCTTTAAGAGAATCTTTTACATCGTAGCGAAAGAATATCCTATATTCAGGTGTGGAGGTAATTTGCCGCCATCAAGAGCTCCAGCGTCATCTCGGGCTCGATATGAAACTCGGTCTCTTTTCCACTGCAAGGAAGAACAAAGAAAAAATCCAAGCATTGTGGCAATCGATCGATCAATTGCTCGCTCACCTCGCAAATTGCAATGACCAGTAGAAGTACTGGCACACTTTCTCGAGAATCGGCGTGCTGATCTCTGGAAATCTCACCTCTCCCAATTCGGTCTCGGTAAAGCTCCCTAGAATGCCGAGAATCTCAGAGAGGAATTTTCAGTGAATCTCCCGAGGGCTACCTGCGGATGTGAGCATGTTCTTGAGCGTGTTCGACACGAGCGCGGCCTTTCGATCGATGATGAACTCGAATCCCTCGGCGCTGATGAGCGTCACCGTGTCTTCCTTCCTCACCATGGCAAAAGACCTCTCCTTCTCCACAAACCCTAGCGAAGAGCCCTAAAAAAGCTTTTGGAATATGGTAAGATCTTTGGATCGATCGATCTATCGATCTAATGCGCTCGCCGGATCTTTGCAGTCGGCGCTCTTCAACTTCCAATCGTTCCTCACAGTGGCGCTCCTGGTGATCTGTACGTGCACATTTGTCAAGCTCCAGTTCCCGAGCTTCATGAATCGAAAGACTGGGTACGCGGCATTTTTCCATTTCCTGGCTTTGATCTCTAGATCCGACGCTCGAGCTACACAGATTTCGAGGAGTTTTCTGGAAAGCAGCTCGGATCGGCGAGCGATTGAGCCCTTGGGTAGCAGCAGCGTGTCTGGTAATGGGATTATACATGCTAGTCTTTTAGATGAAATTTTTTCTTTGGAGCAAAGCTAGAACACCTTAAAGATTTCCAGCCGAGGATTTTCACAAGAGCTTCCTTCTATCAGGTATCAAACTCTTGTTCTTCTCCATTCTATCGAGAACAAACTCTTCTTTCAGCTTGCCTCCGAGATTTTCACTCCGGATGAGACTGTGGCTTGATCAAGCCCGTGAAGAGCGTCGATAAGTTGGAGCCGGAGAGAGGCCGGGCCGCTTGCCTTGCTCATGCCGATCTCTCCGGCCAGGCCGAAGAGCGCTAGAGCAAACGCGCAAGCCTCTAGGTGCTGCTCGCGGGGGTAGACCGCTGCAAACGCGGCGATGAGAGCCGTGACCGAGCAGCCAGACGCAGTGATCTTCTGGAGCATCGGCACTCCATTGCTCACGCTCACCACTCTCGTCCCGTCCGTGACCAAGTCCACCGCTCCAGAGACCGCGACGACGCAGTGATACTTCTCCGCCAGCGATTTTGCTGCTCCGAGAGCCTGGGACGGATCATGGGCACTGTCCACTCCCTGTGCATTGATCGAACGAAGAGAAAAAACGATTTTTTAGAAGAAGAACCGAGATGGTACCTTGGTGGGCGGAAGATTTGACGCTCTGGACAGCGCAAGGATCTCGGAAGCATTGCCTCTCACGATCGAGGGGCCGAGAGCGAGGAGCTCGATGCAGGCCGAGGTTCGAAAGCTGGTGGCGCCGGCGGCGACGGGATCCAGGACCCAAGGCTTGTTGAGTTGCCGAGCTCTCGCTCCAGCGGCCTTCATCGACGCGAGCCACTCGGGCGAGAGGGTGCCGGCGTTGATACACAGAGAGTCGGCTATGGCGACGAACTCGTCGATCTCGTCGATGGCATGCGCCATCGCCGGGGATGCTCCGGTGGCGAGAAGCGTGTTGGCCATGAAATCCATGGACACGAAGTTCGTGATGCACTGGACGAGTGGATTTGCGTCCCTCATCTTGGCCAGCGCCTCCCACGCCATCTCCCTGGAGCTCTGGAAGGAACCCACTGCGAGGAACTAAGAAGAGAAGAAAAATACCTCGTTTCCTCGATCACGATGTTACTATGAGCGTTCTAGCTTTAGCCAGGAAGTTGAAAGACCTGGAAGTGGTATAGATCACAAGAATCACAGTGGAAGATTGAGGCCTTTGCCGACTTCAATCCCAAAAGTTTGCAAAATGCCTCTTCCCAGGATCTGTCACGAAGAACACTAGCGTAAAATTTCGACTTAGAGAGAAAAAAACGAAGTTACCAGTTCCACGAGCGTCATTCCGACAATGCCCAGCATCGCAGTACGAGCATTCCACAACTCGGCCGTGCTTGTGAATCCCCAGAACGCCACTGGAAGCTTGGGATTCTCTTTAGGAAGATCTATCTGCAAGAACGATCCAGGCCAGAATCAAAAGCCTCCAAGGGAGAGAGAGCACTCACTCCTTTCAGCTTGGGAGAAGCCGCACGAACACACGGCATGGAGCGGCTGCCAGGAACGCCATAGCTGCGAGGAACGAGAATTTCATGGGAGCGTTCTACCGGATAAGAGAATACCGACCTTGGATTGCCGCGACGAGAGACCAGCGCGCTTCCAAACAAGCTGCTTGGCGCGATGGCCGCCATCGCCATTTCTTCTCCGCCACACACAGCCTATCCCCCGAGGAATTAGGTCTGGAAAGTTTGCTTTAGAGTTTGGCCGGACATTAGAAAGAGTGGAGAAGAACGAGCCCTGGAAGAAAGGTGGCGCCTTTACCAGAGAAAAACGAGGGCAAGCATGGCGTTGCTAACCGTTGAAGCATCTGCCACGTGGCGCGACCGTGGCCGCCGATTGGCGCTCGATGATGGTAGCGAGAAAGAAAGTCTCCATGGAGAGAAAGAGCTACAGCGCCATGGAAGGGCGTGTAGGCTAGGTTGAGTCCTTGTTCCATTTCATGCTTGGGGGGATTTTCTCGTGGTATCGATGGCGCATTCTATGGCGCCTCATGGAACCGCTTCGCTTGTCGCTGGAAGGAGGAAGAGGAGGAGCTCCTGCTAGGGTGTAGGGTTTTACTAGGGCTCCTTCGGTCCAGTGCCTCCGCGCCATCGCCACGGCGAAATCCTCCTTCGGCTGGTCTGTGATTTCTATATTTCTCCCCTTTTCTCGCTCGATCGGAGGAAGATTATGGCTCGCGGCGATGGCGTGAGAAGATAATGGTGGGGAAGTTCATCTGTGCCTCTGCCGCTGCCGCTCCTCAAGAGAGAACTGTGGAGGAGCCACACCAAGGGGCGGTGAGCATGAAGTACTGGGACGATTGGGCCGATCCCCAGGACATGGATGCAATGTGGTCTCATCCGGAGATCAACAAGGAATGGATCGCTGCCGGAGAGATTTTCGGCAAGAAAGTTCACATGCTGAGGGATCCAGATGGAAGGCCTTATATCACCCAGACCGAATTGCAGGTGAGAGGAATTCTTTCTTTTGGAGCTCATGCGACTCGTCCTATTTGTTTTGGCAGGCTATCGCAGAGATTCTTGTCAAGAGACACTTTAGAGGGAAGATCAGCCAAGTGAGTGTGTTCTATCGTATAGTTTTATCTATTTTTTTTCCTTCCCTTTCTCTTGACAGACCGCTTGTAGGCCATGATATGCGCTATCGCGGAGATTGAAAGCCAAAGACACCCGCTTGCGTATACTTACAATTCCAGGATCAAAGATGTGCTCTGTGGGCTCATGAAAATGCGAAAGTCTACGGTGGAATGGCTCTCAAGGTACTAAAACATGCTTGGGTAGTGATTGATTCTCGAAAGTTTGCTCAGGGAGAAGGATTATGGAGCATACACCGTGGACTGGAAAACGTCGATGCTCTTCAAACCATTTGTTGGAGTATATTATGGTGCTGCGTACTTGAGTTGGCTATCATCGTACGAGGGCAAGTATGTGGTGCATGTAGTTTTTTCAACTCACTTTTTTTGGCACTTTGGCAGGAGGAAAACTGAGGAGTTTATTGTCCGCGCCTACCACTCTGGCCCCAAAGATGCCAACAGCAAACAGTCTTTAGCGTACTGGAATAAGTATCTAAGTGCCAAGCAAAGCCTCCCAACGAGATGGTTTGAGTTGGTATGGCATTGGAACTGCGTTGCTAAATTGATTCCGTGCTACAGGGACATTCCAAATCCGCACAACTCTCCACCTCCTGTAGAGAAGGAAAAGCCTTCAATCGGAACGGCGAAAAAGCTTCTCTATGAAACGTCTCCAGGTCAGAAGATCAGAAGGCTGGCTACATTCAATGGCTGATTCATCAAATCTCGTAAGCAGGTCGCAAATGGATTTACTGGGAGGAAAAGACTTCCCCTGAAGATATGTCTGACATGTGGAGGCATCCCGAACTGAGAAAGGAGTGGACAAGAACCGGAGAAAAACCAGGAAAAGTACGCTTCTCGCTCGATGGCGAGATGCGACCTCACCTCAAGAAAGTTGAACCTTAAGGTGGGCTGGAATTTTCCTCTTCGAATGTCGATCACACAATGAACTTCATCACGCAGGCTGTTGCT